GCCGGTTCTCGGAGGCGAATCCTCGTGGTAAAAATTAACAGTAATGAGAGTGGAGAAGGGGGAAGGCAGGATGCTAGGGGAAAAAATGGAATATTTGAGGTGCTTTTGCAGCTTATTCCCTAAAATGTGAGCAAAAGGATCCAACGTTAGGCTCAGGAATGCACAGTTTGATTTATTATTATTATTATTTAATAAAACCTGTTGTTTGTAGAGGCGCTCAGCCCGCAGGTGTTGGCGCTCGGCTATGTTCCCACCCCGAGACTCGACCAGAGCCGGAGCTCCGTAGGGAAGGAGTTTGCAGGTATGCGGGGCCCCGCGCCGCTCAGCTGCGCTCTCCTGGGGAAGTTTTGGGTTGAAAAGAAGCGGAAGCGGCGCAGAGCAAGCGTCGCTTTGTATCCTCTGTTTGCTGGAGTCACGAGCGCAACTCGGTTCATCTTTGGGTAGATCTCAACTTCAGGTGGGATCAGTTGAACTGTAAAAATACTTAATTTTAGTGAAATACAGGCGATCTTACCCCGGGCCGGGTTTCTGCCTGCTCCACAGCAAATCCACGCGTCGCTACTCGTGTCGACAAACGTTATCGCTCGAACTGGCATCGTTCCTCCCCTGGACGGAGCTGGGGCGTAGGAACTCGGAGAGCGAAGGGTGTTTCCCGGTCTGAAGCGTCTCCTCTTGCTCTGGGCTTTCTCGGCGGTAACGGGCTGTTTTCCCTCTTGCTCAAAACCACTTGTGCGGCCGCGCAGGGAAAGGTATTCTTATTTTTATTTGTTTTAATCCTGTGCTGAGGGGTTATTTTGGGCTGGGAGAGGAGCGGGGCAGCCGGATGAATAACTGCGTCTCTTTTTGAAAGCTGTTTTCACCTCGTTTTGGGTTCATGCAAATTTGCCTTTGTAAAAAACGGAGAGATGCTCAGGACGCGTCTGCCGCGTAGAAGCGCAGGGAACCCGTCTGTGCGTGGTAGGAGTCTTGGTTTGTGGTAAAGATCCTCGGCTGATGGCTGCGGGTCGACTTTTGAACGCTTCTCCTTCCTTTTCCTCAGCTACACCCCCAAAGCTCTCTTGATACCTGGCTGCTTGTTCTTCCAGAGCAGCCGTGGGCTCCGTCGTGCCAGAAAAATCAGCTTTAGTGGCCCCAAAGCTTCTCAAAATGAGCGTGTATTTGTTGTTTCTTCCTCTCTCCGCAATTTCTGTTGCTGTAAGGTCTTCCTCCCCGTTTCTGGCCGCTACGGACACAGCAAGGAGGCGATCCGACGGGCACAGCTCTTCTTCCGCGGTCTCCTGGTGGGTTGTAGGGACTCGACGCTGTGGTCGGAGGTTTTTGGAGTCAGCCTTGGCTTAACCCTGCGGTCGCTCGTCCCGCGGGAAGGACTCGGCACGGAGGCCGTTTTCCTGGGACTATCCTCAACGCAAAATGCCTTTTTGTGGAATATTTGTGCTGTGCCCATCCTCCCTTGAGCTGTACTTCTAATCTGCAAAACCAGAGTGAAGAATTTAGGGTTTACATTGTTTAAATCAAACGCAGGGACAAAAACTCAGCCGGGCTGGGTAGGTGTGCTCAAATTTTTACTCTTCTTCACGTTTTGGGTTGCGTAGCTCCTTTTTTTTTTTTTTCCCTTTTTTCTCCTGCTACGTTTTTACAGAGAACACCGTAAAAAATTTTAAGACTGTTAAAACATTGAGCAGGATGAACAAAGCCACGTTCCTGAAGCACCTTCCTCCTTGGAAAGTCATGAGACAGTTCTTAATCACCCAGTTGGCCTTTTTATGCTAATTTGACGAGCTGAAGAGGCATTCAAGTGAGAGGAATAACCCTTAAAAAATAATATCCTGGGGGCGGGAAGTTTTTCCCAGCTGAGTGGCAGTGGCGGAAACCCCGGGAATTGAGAGCGGCTGCGAGACGGGCCGGCTCTACTCAACTGATTTGCTCCTGAAACTTTAAGCCCAGCTTAAAGCTCCGCGGTGCAAAGTCCCTCTTGCGCCGCGCCTACACCCCTTACCTTGCATAAGACCGGAGCGATTGGAAATCAGACCCATGGGGTTGTCTTGTAATTAGTGAGTGGTGACCGATCAAATGGAAGGTACTCAACGAAAAAAATGGTGTTGGGCTGCGGGCTTTCTAAAAACCAGTGCTAAATAACTGCTATGAGACTGTTTGTCTGTAGGCCCAGCTCTCCTGAGCTCAGCATGCCTCCTGTTTTTCCCTAAACTACCTGAAAACAGTCATTCTTTGTCTTTTAGTGTAAACTCTTGTCTTGGAAGAGGATAATTTGGAAGGAGCATAATTTATAGGAGCTTTGTTGGTTTTTGGCTGGCAGGTCTCGATTGTCATTACAGAAAACAGACAAAACACTAAATCACTTGTCGTCGTTCCTTTTTAACGAGCCTAGGTGCCGAGTAGCTGCAGATGGGTTGGGAAATCTCTCCTTCGCTAACAGCATCCCTGCTTTGGAAATCCTTTGCCAGGCTAGTTTATCCGGTTATCCGACGGCTCCGGGGAAAGGCAGCTGGGGAGGCAGGGTGAGTCTGGGTCCTGCGGAGCCGAACCTTGGAGGGTGATGATGAAATACGCAGCAATTCCGCTTCGAAAACATCCCAGCGTTGCAGCCCTGGCTCGCCAGCGAGCTGGCTGAGACATCAGCCTTGCAGCAAGGCTACAAATTAAATTAGTCTCCTTATAAAAGCTCTCTTGCCTCCCCTTCCTACTGGCAAAAATCCTTAAAAGCATTACAATTTGTACGTAAAACCTTGATTTCTGGAAGAATCAAGATTTTAGGTTTTATTTTAAAGTTCCTTTTGCGGAGTTTTTTTAGGGTTGAAAATGGTCACGTTTAAAATCAAACGGTGAGCTCGCATCTCTCTTCCTCTGGCGGAAAATCAGCTTTGCTTCCGTCCAGCTCGGCTGCACCCGAGAGGCGGAACGACCAGTTCCTTGTGATTTGGAGACGGCGCCATAACGGGTATCTGTGACGGGCGCCCGAAGGCTCCTCTGAACCCTAACGTGCTGCTCGTGTTAAACTTAAACCAAGCTTCTGCCTCAAAAGCAGGAACTTGGGCCGGCTCCTCATGAATTACGCGTGTGTATATGGACTGCGGCGTAGCAGGGATCGAGATTTGTGCTCAAATTGTCTCCAAGTAGCTTTTTTTGGAAGGCGAAACTGTAATAAATCCCATTCAGAGAGCCCAGCCGCCGTTTCGGAGGGAGCTCAGCATCTCAAGCAAGGTTTTCCCCCACTCCTCTGGACTCCCTGGGCCTGGACGACTCTGCCCGCTGCCGAGTAGGTGCTAACTTTCCACTTAAAGAAAGAAAATCGGAAGAAATCAATTTAAATCCCTTGCCTCTAAATCACTTGACCTAATCCTTTGAGTCCTGATGCTCAGGGCTCTCCCCTGTATCTCATCCCCTCCTAAGGGACAGGGAAAAACAGCAGAGCGAGCTGTTGGTGATGATTTTCTTCAGCTTGGCACAGGGAATACTCATTCCACCAAAGCTGGTGCTGAAGTTAAAGGTTTCGGTGCCAGAGGCGGGTTCTTTGCCAGCACAAAAATCGCCGTCGGTGTAAATTATCACCTCAGGTTGTATTATATTTGCTTTTATAAGGTGTTTTTAATTCCTGTCAGGTCGATATTTCCCCGTTTGCAAGATTTGGGTGATAAAACGCTCGTATCTGTCTACTGGAATAACAGCAGCAGCGAGATCTCGAACCCTCTGCGCGCGGTGCCAGATGTGTTTCGGCTTTATGGTACAAGCAGCAAAGCTGTGTCTGTTACACCGCCGAGCGCAGGCAGGGTCGGTTCTCGGAGTTCAGAGTTTAATGCCGATGGGGGGAGGACGGGGATTAGTGTGCAAATCGCTGGTCCAAAGGTTACCCGAGATGTTTGTGGTTCGGTTTGGGGTTTTGGGGGGGTTTTTTTTGCATTTGTAGGTAGGTTTCCGGCACGTCAGTGTATGGACCGGCCTCGCCTGTAGAACCCCAGCATCGAGAGCCCGGGTGCGCTCGATACTCAACGCCTCGCTCTGGTTTAGGGAGCTGAGGAAGACTTCGGTGGCGGGTAAAAGGGATGAGCGCTAAAAATAGGGTTGGAGCTTCGCTGCTCCCTCAAAACTAAACATCGCCGTTATTTTGGATGTATTTAAGGAGACGATTCCCAACTTTATGCTGCTCCCAAACCCCCGGCGTGATCCTTTCCTACTGAACTGGGGTGTAATTAGAGTTAATTTGGGCACGATCCGGTTTCCCCTGGGGGGAAGAGCGAAGGGGAAAGGTGTGGTGCTGTTCTGCAGGCCGAAGTGTCGTCTCTTCTTTTTATTTTCTGCTGGTGAAGTGGTGCTTTCTGCTTTCAAACGCCACCTCTGCCCGTGGAGTCACTGGTACGGGGTGGGGAAAAGGAGGGTAAAGGGTGAAAAGGGGGAAAAATAAGATTTGTTATCCTGTTGCTGGCAAAACTGAACATCTGAACGGGTAAACTGAGACACCTCTGAGCACAAAGACAGCGGAGCGGGGTCGGTTTGTGGAATAAAGGTGGCAAAGAGCCTTTTACTGCTTCTCCTTGCCTGCATCTGGGGCTGGACGCTGTCCTGGACTGAAGAATTCCCTGTAAAAACCGTATCGGGTTACAAGAAAAACAAGATTGCCGCTTATTCCTGCCGTTGAGTCGGAGACGACGTGTTTACAGATGAGACTGACCTTGTGCCTGTTGGCGGGTGTTTGTTTGCAGAGCGGCCGATCGCTCTTCTGGTCCGAGGGGAAAATTCCAACTGTTTGCAGAGCCCGAGGAGTAAAAGGGGACTTTTTGGAGCACTTTGGTGTCCTCTGACGCCCCTTTGAAGGTACGAGCGGCCCAGAGGGATGTATCGTCACCAGGCAGGGTGTTTGGAGCGGGTTTTGGGGGATATCTTCTTTTTTTTTTTTTTTAGAGCCGCGCAACTGCGTAAGGGTTAGTAAAGTAGGTCTTTGCTTAACAGATGTTACTCTTAACGGGACCCAGAATGACTTCTAGGTCTTAGATGTGATCTGACGTCCTCCTCTTCTGAGCCTAGCAGCTTTGCTTTTAACTGGTTTAACTACCCTGCTGGTTTTAATATGGTTTTTTTCTATGTTTCGGGACAGATTTAACCAGTTAAGGGCACTGCATTTTTCGCATAGTGAAAACATTTTTTGTTTTGCCTTCTCTTTTTTTTTATCAGCTATTTTTGGTCTGACCTTGGCTCGTCCTTTCTTACCTCAGCTCCCAGTTAGGTTTCTCTGGGAAAGGCGGCTATTTGGGAGCCCCATGTTCTTGCAGACTATTGATAGCGCCTGAAAAACGCGATGCTGAGCAGTTGTGGTCTCTCGGTATCTACAGACGTGGGCTGAAAAGGAATGTGAATTCAGCTAGAGCTACGGGGCAAAGCGTAGTCGTCATTGCAAGGCTGATGTTGGGAGGTTTGGAGCCCAAAATGTGCTTCTAAAAAAGCCTAGCCGAAAGGTGAGATTATTTTAGACTCGGCATTTGGATATAGGATTGTAAATTCTTATGGTCAACCTGACTTTTTTAGAAGGAAATTGTCTTTTAGATGTTCACTTTAAGCCTGTTTATTGATTAAAATATGCTGAGGCATCCTTCAAGAGCTTAGGTTTGACCGTTTGCTCTTAAAACTAAGGTTGATAACCCCTCCGTGGATTAACAGTTCATTAAGAGACTCGAGGTAGGAATGCACAGTAGCTTGTAGTGGAGAAGATCCATCTGTCTGCACCCATGTTTTTTCAGTGCACTTGAAAATATTGTAGGAGAAGGGGTGAATGATATTGCTGATTGCAAAAAAAAAAAAAACAACCACAAAACCAACCCCGAAAAGCTCCAGGAACGACCCGAGGTGCCTCGGTAACGACTTTTTAATGGTCGAGAGAAGATGAACAGGCAACAACTTAAAGTAAGTCCCTCTTAAAGACCGGGGTCTTTAATTATTTTGAATAATAAGCCTTCCCGGGTGTGGTTTGGAAGCGCGGAGGATGGATTTGCGAAGGCTCGCTCTTTCTTTTTGACTGGAGATGGGATGGCAGGTGTTGGATCTGCTCCCGTACGGCCACTTCTGCTTCCTCTCTCCTTCTCTCTCATCGCCGGGATGGAGATTGCCTTTCTCACCCGCTGGGTGGGTCTTCAGAAGCCCGTTGACTTGATCCGTGCCGTTAAGAAATTGCTTTATGAACCCAAAACTGCCTCGATATTCCACCCTGGAATATTCCTGGCGTTCGTTCGGGCGGCTGGAAGATCAGGCTGCTCCGTGGAGCGGTTGCTGTGGTTGAACCAAGACCTGCAGGACCTGAGCTTGAGGTCTTGGGGGAGGTTTCTGATGTTCTTCAGCACGGTTAACGTGAACTCAGGGCTTTTGCCACACGGCGCTCGAGTTGGCTGACCTCACCTACCAGCTAATGTAGGCTGAAATGAGTAATTTACTCCGTGGTAAGGATTAGCAG